TTATCTCTGCTTGCTCCCTCCATTAGCTGTCTTTTGAAATTAAAAAAAAATCCATTTCTGCTTCAGTTTTCCATTGTGATTCCTTTTACTTGCATTTCTTCACTGTCTTTTATCTAGTATCTTAGCTATATAAGCCACAAACTCAATTGCAATCTCCACTCTGTTGTTGCATTCATCAGCTTCAAAATTCTAAAAGTTTTGCTGTCTTTTTAAGTGACAAAAACCATCCTTGAGTTTTCACTACCAGCATTTTTCTTTACTGAATATCGCTATAAGAGCTGTCCTCCAGTATATAAGGACCTTGCACCCAGAATTTTCTTCAGGATTTATTCACTTTGGTGCAGAAGTCTGCCATATCACTACTGTTTCACTTCCAAAATAGAAGTAGGAAAAGTACCCTTTCCTTGCCACTGCTGTTCACACTTTTTATGCTGACATTGTAGACTGCAGACTGAAGGAGCTGTACACTAACCTCCTTAATTTGCAAAATGACACACAGTCAGTTACAACATTCTAAAGCTGTAGAGGGTCAGTACAAGAGAAACTGAGAAATTCTTAGTCAACAAGTACTTAAATTTATAATAAAAACACTTTAGGAACTTGGCTCAGTTTACAGAGTTAGTTTATATGACCATTGCAACAAACAAGTTCTCAATTTCAGAATGCTGAAAGTGACCATTTCACATATTCCTATGGAGAAGGGGGGAAAACCAAAACAAATCTGCATTTCTGTGTTGAGTTTGATTTCCAACATTCATTTTTCAACCAGTAGTTTTAATAATACAAAGCAGCATTCTAAAGTAATGCTCAAGGACGTAAATGGAATCTTAAATTAATTCCTCAGTACGGATTCTGTGTACCTCAAACATCTCATAGATAATACCTCCCTTCAGGAAAACACATCCTATTAAAAATAGAAATTGCTTTTATCAGGTTCTAAAGGATATGGTGTCTGCCCAGTTTTAAGCAACTTAACCAACTTAAGAAACTAACACCATCTACAGAGGGGTTATTAGCACAAGAAAGTGCCCCATAAACAGACACTTTGAACAGTATATGGAAGATCTCCATTTTCTGATATCCTTGAAAAGTAAGACCTTTGCTGTACGTTCCTGTAGAATCGAAATATTTCACTTCTGAGGGAGAAGGGGACAAAGATATCAGAACACCCTGAATTACTGTACTCCAAGTGCTGAATCTTCTAACTTGCTATTGACTCCACATATGGAGCACAAAATTAGATCCCATTCAATTGGTAGCCCACAGTGTATACAGAGCATTTAAAAAACCCCAAAAGCTTAGTACTCAAAGGTTCTTTCTCCAATATCTATCTGTACTAACCTCTTGTTCGTAAGAAAGTGCCCCAGCAGCTAGCAGAGCCAGCAAGTCCTCCCTCCTCTCGTGCATGGCTTTCAGGAATGCTGCTATATTGAAAAGGCAAAGTTATCATTGCCCAATGAAATGCAATCCAGCAACAAAATAACACTAAAAATAGGCTGAAAGGAGAACAAGTGTATGGATTTTCATAGGCTTAGGTCAAGGTGTACAGGCTGACACCATGCTATTTAAAGAAATCAGACAGTGCTCCTGTCCCATATTTTATACTTGCTTGAATCTTGCCCTAACAGCTGAATGTTTTTTAACTGACCAAAATCAACAGCTTAGCCAAAAACCCACACAAACCCTTAAAAGTCGCTTAGCACTTTTCAGCTACCCTCAGGGTGAAACAGCCAGAAAGAAAGTAACCTAAATATTACAAAACACTGAAAGATACACTATACTAAATTATTTTCAAATTTCTAGAAGTATGAGTGCAGGGATATTCAGTGTTTGCCTCAATACGGGTACTTTCCTAAATCTGAACTTGTTTTGGCATAGTTCAAGCTGATGTAAGTCTGGTATCACAAGAGAGCCAAGGTAAACATAAAAATTATACTGATTTGATCTTTTATGATCACTTGAACTTTCTCCAAAGAACTAAGAAAGTGTATTTTAAAAATAAAATATGATCTAATGGCAGATGATGCTAGAACAGCCTGTAGAGCTTTCTGCCACCACCTCCAGCCTCAGTTGGCTGCCTCTGCACCAACTCCTGTTCCCAGTGAGGTCCCTCAGGGAGCTAAGCCTGCAGAAAACAAGCTCTACATGTGAAAAGTGGATATTTTCTGTGTGTTTAACTCCCTGAACGAGCTCACCATGAGTCAGGTGAGTATCACCTGCCAGACCAGTCACATGGGTGGCAATGCCTAGCAGCAGGTGAAGAGGGGAACGAGACTGTCTCCTTGTGGTAACAACTATCCATCAGCTCAGCCCAAGGACAGGACACGTACTGCAAGTCTGCAAATTCACGTTGTTCACCACTTTTATTACCCTGTCGTGCTTTTGCTGGCTACTGCTGATATTAAAAATAACTTAACTAAAAATACCATAGTAATTTTAAGGTTTTAAATAACATATTTGGTGTTCCAGCTTCTTTTAAAAAACTCTTATTTAAGACACTAGTAAATTAAGATTTAAACAATGTTCTTCATATACCCCTCTAAGCAGGTACTCTTGTAAATACCTAATCTGACGTGTTTCTGGTTTTTTCATAACAACATTTGTTAAATAAATTATAGAGTTCATTTCCATGGCTCCAGAGAATTTGACTAATATTATGATAAATATTCTTGAAGAATCTAATTTTTTTTTTTTAAGCAATGAAAAAAGCATAACATGACTTTTATGGATGTCACCATCTTTGGTCTACATCCAAACACATGTTAAAAATAGTACGAAGAGAGTTATATTAAACCAAGAACGTACAAGGTGTTTTGATGCAAAATTTGGTTTACATAAAATAGAAAAATATTTTTCCAGCAAATGTAAATTAAAACAGCTAAGAGAAAAACACCAAAAATCTGCTCCCCAACTTAAGAAGACGCTGAGGAGCTGGTATTCATGTCTTACGCAAGGAACTGACTCCAGTGAAATCATGCCTGAGATACCTTGCTTAGTAGCAAAAATCACAAGTATGAGCACATGAATAAAAATTACAGATATATAATTTTTTTCATTCTCTGAGGATTTAAACTGGTTACTAAATTATTATATTAACCTTGAAGTTCAAGTGCAAACAGGACACATCCAGAATAACATCAGGTTTTTTCTTACCATGTTCAAGATACAACTATTTGAAGTACCTGAATTGTTCAGGAATCCACCAAAAATTTTAAAAAGGCAAAGGATTCTGAATACATCTTTAAGTCACCAGTGTATAAAAGCAATTTGTCTTACTGAGGTATCCCAGAATCCATCCGCTTCAATTTATTTGTAGATCAAGACCATATGAACATTTCACAAATTTCTGTTCTTCTCCCTTCTCAATTATACCAACATCAGTCAAGCACTATCATTCCAGAGCCATGAAAAACAGTCTTTCTTGCAACAGCAACAATCATCTCCCAAAATTCCAACAGGAAAGCCAGAGACATTACACGCCAGCTTTGCTGCAACACGTCAACCACAGATAAGAACTGTAAAGTAGCAGCACTAGTCACGCAAAACACCTGGTGCTGCAGGCTGGAAATAGCAACACCAGCAAGAAAATTCTCGAGGGTATTTGTGATTATTACCTCAATTAGTTAGATCTTATATTTCCTATCAAAATATCAAGTTCATGCATGGCATTTAAGTATATATATATATTTAAAAGTTCCATGAATGCATATTTCCCTTAAACATAGTTGGATACAGACTTTTCAGGTGCTCCTTCTCAAGCTGTAGCTAACTACATCTGAACACTCTGCCAAAGCAACAGCTGTCTTCTTAGGAAAGCAGTAACATGAAAATCAGGGTTGTACATGCTTCCTGTTTTTGATCATGGCTACTATTCCAAAGGTGAGCCCTCTCCATCTCCCCAGTACAACAACATCTAGAATTTAACCAAAAAACTGACAATAAACACCAAAGAATAAAGTAAAAAAATGATCCATAACGAAACCCGTTCTGGTGACTGCTGTTAGGTATTACAACAAAATATAGATAAAATTTTAGTTCAGAAGGTATCTGCAACTTCTATTCCAAGCCTGCCTTAGTTTATTCTTTCAAAAAAATTTGCTCTACATCCAAAAAATTAATCCAAGCCCCTATTTACTATTAAAGACTCAAGACCAACCTATGTCTCACCTAGTTAGTGATTTCAAGTTTCTGGACACGCAGCCCTATTTTGACGTACTGGGGCAACTGCAGAAAAGAACCAAATAAAAGCTGTGGCTCTATACCCAGATTACATTACATTTCCTACCATACCTACTAGTGATGTTTGGTGTAGTAACCATCACGTTTGTTTGTCTCGTGTCAAATACTCTAATTACAATGCAAGTGGCAGCATACCCACATCAGTATTCTTTTTGTAACCTGTGGTAGCACTTCACTTAAGTATGAGGAGCGATGGAAAACTTCAAGGGGAAAAGGGTAACTAAGACAAGGCCTTGTAATCCGCAGCCAACTTAAAGAGCCACTTCAGGTCATGAGAAATTTCAAGATGATAACTCTTTTATAGTTCTCTTCCCACGGTCAGAAAAAATACCACATGGAAAAGAAATACTCCACGAAAAAACTATTCTTTCACTAGCTTTTATGGTAACTTGCATGTAAGCCAAACAATGTACAAGGGTATCAATCACTTTCCTACTTAAATGCCTTTTCAAAGTCATGCACAAACTTATAAGATTGTTCAACCAACATATATCAGCTGTCTCACGTTCTGTTTTCGGATATTGATATCTGCAAACCTTTTAACCGGATCTAGTATCATTGTTCAAGCTCAGATGACTCAGATAAAAACAATGTGAAAACATAGTTTGTTTTCATGTTTAAAGCCTCAATTGGTCTCCTGCAACAATAACAGGAAGAGCTGTACGGATCGATACGCAAGATTACTAATAGGGACTTTTCTTGTCCTACCCAATAACACGCACGTGGAATTTTCACAACCAGGTAATACATGCCACGCTTACCAGATCCCTGTGAAGCACCCAGTTTGCATGGAGGTAATGGATTCCATCGAGGATCTGGTAGAGTAGGGATTTAACCATGGATCTTGGCAGCTGCATGGGCTTTTTGTTTGCTTTTGAGGCACGGTGAAACTTGATAATATGCTAGAAATAAAACAAGTAAAAACATGAACTAAGTTAGATATGTAAAAAGGTTGGTTGTTGTGTTTTCTTCTGGTTTATTTGGGTTTTTTTAACTACTAACATTAATGGAATGAAATACAAAGTCTGTTGAATTTTGCAGTTAAAAGTAATAGGGAAGTATTCACAATACCCTTAAATTGTTTTTATTCTCCGAGTTGCTTTAAAAAACAGCTGTCAAGCTTTTGTTAGTATCTAAATACTGGTTACTTACCTTCAGTAAAGGGTCTTAGACATTCTCCTCCCTCCCTCCCTCCTCCCCATGTGGCATCCTCTTATCCTCAGCAGCTAAGAGCAGAAGCTTTCAAACCAGCAGTATCCACCAGAAGGAGGACCATACCCTTTGCTTTCACACTTCCCCTGCTTGTCTTCAAAAGCACCCAGGATAGCATATTTGCAACTAATCTAGTGTAGCCCGCTAAATCAGAATCCCAATAGACAGAGAATGAATAAATATTTTTAAAAATATTTAAAGAGGGGGAGGGGGTAACTACCAAAAACCCCACACCACCACATTAGGATGAAATCAGATCATGTTCAAACACCTAAAAGTGGTTATCTTCTTGCTTCTAAGTGCTGGCTGCATACTTCATTAATGATGACAACAAGCTGGTGGTGCTTAGATTACAGAAGTCCATCAACCCACCAGAGGACAAACACCACTTGAAAACATGGAATGCAAGAAGGGATCCCAGCATTAGTCAGTTGAAGGAATGAAGAATACAATTGAAAGACTGCTGAGAGATCATGAAATATTAATAAACTAATTAATATTTATTGTAATATCACTGTGGAGCTGACAGGTTAGGTTTGGTTTTGCTAAACTGTACAAGAAATAAATTGGAGTGAGACCATTCTACCTTTTCAATCCTCAGACAAGGTGGAGCTATGCAAGGCACAAACCCAATCCTAATATACTGTCATTCAACAAAGAACTCAATATGTTCAATCAGATGGAAAAAAAAAAAATCTTCTTTTTGAAGACAACTCAAAGAAGCATCTCAAATAACAAAATAGTTTTAAATTATGTGCCATTTGAAAGATGGAAATAATAAAGGTAGTTTGCATTTTTTACTGAAAAGGATTCAAAATGCTAATCTGTAAAGTGACAGGATATCTAATTACTCAATTCTTTAAACAGGACTTGTCTAGTTCAAGATCATCCCCCTCCCCACATTAAAGAGGTAGTCAATGGCTGTGCTTTCACTAGACCTCTGCTCCCTCCTCCACCACCCCCACTCCCATCAAGTTTGTCACTACTGTTCCCAATGAAAATGGAAACAAGTTGATGTTTCCTCATGGTAAATGCTATTCCTAGTTGTCACCAGTACTTTAGCCATTGCCAAACTGGACTTAGCACAGGTATAGACAATACTGTTAAAAGAGAAATAGAAAAAGCAGAAAACCACAAGTAAATCAAGAAAGCCTGTTACTCCCAACAATGTTCCCACAGAGCCTTCCACTACTACATGTACTATAGCAATAGCTGTGTATTAAAAACTGATAAATCAGTTTATACTGGTTTTTAATATCCACATGAGGATCAGTAAACAAGACAAGCTCTTAGTACCTGATCCTTCAGTTGTGCAATCACTCTGAAAACTGTAAATGCAATGCCTTAAAGAATCACTTCCTTAGAAAAAAATTTTCTTGTCCTGTTACAAGAAGATTCTCTCTCATAACTTCAACTGGGAGTCCCTACCTCCCAGTACCATACAACACTCACTGAATAACGACCTTCATGTAATTACAATATGATTTATAATGCAGTAATGATACCATAAACTCCATTAATACCATTAATATATTTATTCATACATGGTATGAAAAATACAGTCATACTAACAGGCAAAGGTCATACACAGAGACCCATAAATCCAGTCCTGCCCTTTTTCAAGGTGCATGTAATCAATAAAAGGGATTTCTATACCCATTTAAAAACTGACTACCATCCACAAAAAACATTATTCCTTATTATAAAGGCACCAAGAAAATGAAACTGAAAAAGGTCTCAGGGGACACAATGGGACACAATTAACCACAGATGTGTTGAGGAAGAACAACACATCTGGCTCTGCCTCTGGCCCTACCTCAGCTGCTCCAATACCTCCAGAGGTCAGGCATGTCACAGCACCAGACTGGTGTTCTCTGATTTCTAGCCCTGCCCTCCCATGTGGCTCCCAGAGAAAAAGGCTAAGAAAACAAGCTCCTTTTCCTGAAAGGGTTTTTGAATTGTAGAAGTGAATTAAAACTGATAGTTTTGCTTGAAGCAAGCAATATCACTAGATAAAATCCAATTTCCTGCAAAATCAAATAAAACTATTGTTGCCAACTTACTCTACCGAAGTTTATCCATCAAATCACAAACATCACAGTTTAGAGAACTGAACAAAAAGTTAACTAAAAACCTAATGCAGGGCCAAATAGTATAGGGAACTGAAAACCTGCATTTGCCCCATGGCATTAGAATGAATCCAGAGTGTTTGTGTCCAAATACTACTCTGAAGAGTTTTCTAAAAAAAGTAGTTCATCCAATTTCTTGTAAGCAACTAGCCATATGAAGAAAGACCAACACACATAGCCAACAGTAAACAGCAATTTTAATGGTAATGTCCATCTAAGAAATAGAAAGGCAAACAGGTGCCATTGCTGAACATCATGTCTTCTACTGGAGGCAGCAAGCCTAAACCTTCTCTTAGTTATATTTTCAGAAATGTATCTCTATGGCCCTACTACTGTTGTGGGAAATTATTCCTCGAATTAATTAAATAAAGAAATAAATAAGAGCAGAAATAAATGAATAGTCACAACAACTGAACAAGAAAGTTTTGTAATCAGGCAGATCACGTGTACAATAAACTCCATAGCAGTACAACAATGTTAAAGGAGTTTTTTAACTTGAACAGTTACGCTGACATCAGGGATGGCAGGGAGATGTGCTCTTGTCATCTCAAAACATTTAAGAATTTAAATCCAAGACCTCAGGCGCAGAAACGGGTGCAGGTACCAGAGCAAACTAGGATGGTTTTTATATGTAAGTGCACCGTGCAAGTGGATGAGGCAGTCTTTACTAGTTTCACTTCCTGAAGAGTCCCAAAGTGCAGCCTCAAGTACATCATGTAGCAGCCAGAATTTTAGACCTAATAAAGACGTGGAATAATTTACACAAATCATAGGAATTGTAACCATTTCCCATTCCCCAGATGACTGCCTTTACCACTAGGCTTCAAAACTACACTCCTCTCATTCAATAAATCTTTTTGCAGAATAGCACAGCATCAAGACTGTCCTGGAGTATAAATCTGAACCCTGACAGGTATGAAGGACAGTCTGGCTCTCTCTCCAGGACCAGGAGATGCACTTCGACACTGCAGCTTCTAACATTTAGGTATTCCCAAATTCCTTGCTGAATCTTACCACTAATGGATAATTGCTAAGAACGAAATGTGACTTTTGCAATCCAGGCAAGTCAGAGGCATGTTTGTAACAAGATGACAAGTAGACAGAGGGTCAAAAACCTTCAACATTCTCCATGTCTTTTTTCCACTGTAACTCCCCAAAGATAACTTAACTCATAAATTCTGATAGATCACCTGGCCAAAAAAGCTGGAAAACACCCAGACTCATTCAGCAAAATTAATTAGGGAAGCCTTAATTGTCAGTATGCACTGTATCAGTCACATGCTACAGAACAGAAACCCATCCACAGCGTTATCCAGCCATAAATTCATTTTAATTAGTTCATTAGAACACTGTGGATGCAAGCTCTCCTTCTGATATATCTAAAATGCTTCAAAACGAAAGAAAAATGCATGTCATATGAGGTAAATGAAACTGCAAGCAATATTCAAATCTAATCAGCAGGAGTAGCCAAGTCCCTTTCCCTTTCTATGCATCCATATTTTCAGATTCCTAAATCTTAAAAACATGATGAAGCTGACTGGATTCCAAATCCAGTGAGCCAAGTCAGTATTCACTTTTGAAAATAAACATAAAGTAAAAAAATTGCTAACGCTTTTATATATTTTGTTTTATATTTAAACAAGGCATCAACTTCATGGTAGTATTTTTAAGTCTGTATTCTAAATTCAATTAATACTTCACTGATCAACATTAAAGCACACATTCATCAGCAGTCTGGAAAAGAAAGGAAGCTATAATTTGCTGTTTGCAGTCTCTGGGACTATACCAACTGCTTATTCCCAATTATCAACTTGAAAAAATGTAATAAAATTGCAAGGAAAACTGGATGAACCAGTATTTCAGTAAGACCATTTTAGTTCTAGCAATGGTAAGACCATATAAATGATAAAAAATGAAGTGAAATGCAACTAAGCATTTGAAAATAAAATATGGTAGTGACTGATGAAACAAAATTCAATCTAGTAGTTTGTCTGCCTTCTATATTACCTAGTGTATTGAAACTGGTTTGAAAATTGGCTGGTGAAGAACTATATGCATTTTCTAAATCCTTCACCACAAACAAAGTAATGCATAACAACATAGAGCAAATTCAAATCCCTAGTATTTACCCAGCAGTTAAATGACCATTTGAAAAGATCCTAATTTTAGCCTGCTTCCAGGTCAGTCAGTCTCATGCAAACATACTCTCTCTATGTTTGTGTCATCCAGTTCCCAATTCCAAGAACTGCTGTTCAGTATGACAGAGGTTAAAACAAACAAACAAGTCAGATCTGGAAACTTTTCACAGAAGCAAGAAGCCAGCTAACAGAGGGATTTTATGCATGCCTGACTAAACAGAATTAGTGTGAGCTCCCACCTCAACAGACATGAGATAATCCATAGAACTCAAGACACGAGCCCCTAGAAAATCTGACTACTTGAGTTCTATTGCTTAAGGCAATACTTGTTGCAAAATTACATGTATCTCCATCAAACTGAAATGCAACCATGCCAAATTCAGTTGCCTCTCCTGGTTGAAGCAAACTGTGTGCTCCCACACT